GAGCAATAATGAGTAAAACACGTTTCTTTAAATATATGATTTTATTGGAATACATATATTTTCCTGTTTTTCCTAACAACCCATTTTGGCTTATATAAATTTCATCTTTTTACCATATCAACATTTTTAACTAAGCTGAAGTTTATCAAAAAAAAAACTCGTGTTAGAGAACCTTCACTGTTTTTTATTTTAATTGGCTTTTTTCGATTTATACCCATTGCATTGTGTGCTCTTCGACGGGGTTCCATTTGTTTTTGTTATTGGAGGCAACAGCGCATTGATATGAAAATATTGGTATGCCAACACTTTTTCATTCAGCTGGTGGAACAATGAAAACTGAACTTAAATGGAAAACATAGTGAATCCATTTAACACAATCGCTGGCTGGACGACCCGGCCAAATCGGTGTGCCGAGGTGTGTACATCGAAATCAACTGTTTTTTGCCGTTGGTAATTTGTTTTTGCCCGCAGGTGCTGCTCGCATTAATTTCCACCAGCAATTTGAGCGGTCAAATGGCAGCAACAAATGACCGCAACCGCAACAGTGACAGCTGTTGCTCTTTCACGAGGCAAAACTGGCAAAAAGCCGAGTGCTGATAAGGGTTCGACGTCACTGGCGGTATGTTGACATTAGAAAAAAAAACCGATGGTTAAGCCTAGCAGATATCAGGAGTTTTCATATTGTTCTTTTATATTTTCTTTATATACACAGAGAAAATTCTAACGTTCTCATCTGAGTTGAAAATGTTCTTACAAATAGAATGACATTTTTAAATGAAAAATGTTTTTATTTTGCGTGAATCAAGTTGAGTTCGCTGTATTTGCATAGTATATCTCAACAAGTAAACTATTAGTGCAGTCAAAAAGTTGTTAAATAAACTCAATTTAACTTTTCTCTTCTCACCATTTCGTTCTAATATTGAGAACATTGATACCAAAATGTCCTTACACGGTTTTTAAGAACAAATGTTCTCAATTCAAGAACAATGTTCTTGGACATTTCTCTCTGTGTACATATGTGAGATTATTATTTTTAAGCTGATCAAAAATATTGATATCAAATATGATGGTTTATCTTCCTTTCTTAGAAGTAATGCAAGCTTGCAATAATCGTATTCCTTTTTAATATTAAATATAAAAATATAAATATATAAATATTTATTAAAGATATTTTTAGAGTTGGTTGGAGTTCTTTCGACACCAATTTATCCCAAGTGACATCAACTGAACGAGGTTATCCCTAGTCATCTAATATTTATATTCGTTGTTTTATTTAAAAATGTATATATTTGTTATTTCTAGAATTTTAAGTAAGAATACCTCCAAAACTAGTTTTAGTTGCCTTTACAAAAGTATATTCCTTAAATACCCAATAATTATGTTCACCAAATACCAAGAATTGTATGACCAAATACCCATGCTGGCATACCCCAAACAAGTTAATTATTCCCCGAATCCCTGGGATTGATAGCACGCCCAAAGCACTGATAACGCTAAACCTTGAGTTCAGCCTGGAGCCCTTTACCTTGTGGGTGTATTAAGGTTAGCTATCCAATGCAATTCTGATTAACAAACCATTAGAAGGGGGCCGAAACCACAGAACCACCCGCTGAGAGGGCGGGAAATGCAAGTTGCCATACAGGCTGTACCGCAGAGTTTTCATTTCCAACATTTCCGGCGACCAGCAGGTGGCAGGCAGCATATGATTTCTCCAATCTGGTAAACCCCGACATATGTATATATGCACAGGCGCACACACACAAACATGCGGTGGCATCTGCAACTGTTTGCGTGAGTGTGTGTGCAATTTCCGCTTCCGCCTTATTCCACATGATTAGGCTGATGATACTTGGGCTTTCCGCTCTACCTCGATCTCTCCTCACAGCACGAGGTTTTCCTTTTGCGAAAAAAAGGAAAATGATTTCGTTCTCGAACGTTGCGTCGGGGTAAAAGTTATTTTTCCATGAAATAATCAATGCAAGTGTTGGTTTTGGGTTGCAAAAATCAAAACTCAAAGTACATTTCCAATTTCATAAATGTGCATAGCATCATTTTCATTCATCCAAAGAGTATTCAACAGGAAAATAACCTTGTACATGTGGAATTCGCATCCATGTGGTATTTGCAAAAAAGCAAAAACAAAGTTGAAAGCTGGTTGAGGAAAAAACAGTTTTTTTCTAATATTTATTTTGTAACATTGTAGTGCAGATAGCAATTATAAATTTGCGTGTTACTTTTTGCCTTGCTCATTTTTTTTTACGGAAGTGATACAGAAAATGCAGATAAGCACAAAAAACTTTAATAACAAAACAATTATATAAATGTTTTTAAAGGGGATAAGCTTTTATTGCCAAAAGGTCTGGCATTTATAAATATTATTTGAAGTAACAAAAGGATACACTTACACTTTGGCAAAGATATTCTTCAAAGAATTTTTCTATCTCAAAACTAAAATATCAAAAGCCATTAAAGCCCTTCACCTGCTTTCACAATAAATTAAGTAGACCAAATAAACAGACTTTACAAAGAAAAGCAAAAATTCTTTCGATGGAAAAGCTTGTTATCTCAAACACGCAGACATGTTTGAAAATTCCACGAAAAAAGGTTTTAATAAATGGGCAATTTCCTGGCCACCTTGCAGATATGTGAATAGAGCATCCTGGCCGAAAGGAAATTATCTCTAGAGAAGATTAACAACAAGAAAATAAATGCAAACACCCCCGGGATCCGGCACATCTGGGAGTTTCCTCACGCCAAAGGTCCGGCGTTCATTTAAGCAAATTTGGCTCATTCGGAAGCACAGAGCTACCTAATAACCACGTTAAGGCGAAATCGCCTTGTAAGAGGTCGAAACGAGTTTGGAATTTTTAATTCCGCCTGTGCCGCATGTGGTGTTCTCTCTTTTTTTTGGAAACAGTGCTGCGGACTCCAGGAAAAGCGGCACGTGCCCCATAAAAAAAGAAGCGAGTAAAAGCGGCTGTCAGGGAGGGAAATGGGAAAACACGAAAAGCGAAAATATGCTTTTCTCTGGCCAGCCCCATACACAAACACTTGGCTGACCAGCAAGGGAAAGAGGCAATGGAACTCAGAACTCAATTTTATTCATCCCATTTACCACCTGCCCACATGAGTTACTCGAAAAAACCACTGTGGGAAAAGCCGAGTTGGAGTATTGACAATTTAACACTCGACTTAAGCTCACAACTAAATTAGAAAAGCCATTAATGGGACCACCTAAGGTTGGTTTAAGTTATTTAAATTAAAAAAACGTTTAAACAAACAAAAGTCCTTTTTATTCTCTGTAATTAAGAAATATATTGTATGGATTACAAGATAATAGTATATAATATTCGCCCTGGATTTTAGGAGTTCGAAACTTTTTCTTAAAATGTTGTGCTCACTGTCGCTTGAAAAAATGTTCTTAAAGAGTAAACATATTTTTCAAATTAAAAAAAACAAATTTTTTGTTGACTCCAAATTTTAAAAATTCAGGACAAGTATTTTTTGAATTTACTGCTATTTCAAAAAATTTTTTTAATGTGCAGATAGTTTTCTAAATTTACAGAAAAAATCTAGAATGTCTTCAAATACCGAATATTGTTTAAATAAATAGGTATAGCTTTAGGTAACATAGAAAACAAATCCCGATCAATAACTTTTGCAACCCTATTTTATTCAACAAATATTTTCAAAGTGCATTTTGTGGAACAAACATTCATTACTTAGTATTTTTGTGCAGTGCACTACACCGATAAATCCTCGCCAGCACCGGTTTTGTGGCTCTTTCGACGCTGCACCCTACTCTGGATGAATCCGCGGATCAGCTTGTGTTGATTCACCACCAGGTCGAACCAGAGATTCATGTCGGACTCGAAATTAAAGGCCGGCATGGCGGCCATATCCGATCGGAATCCTCGGACATAGTAGGGCACATCCTTGGGCCAAGGACAATGCTTGGGAACATTACTATATTTATCCATGTGCTTGCGGCCCAGTTGGATGAAGGCGATCTGGTTTTTATTCGAAAGCAGACTGCATCCATCGATTCCAGAGAGATTGAACAAAGTGAAATCGCCGCCGAAGCGTCGGGGTAAAACAATTCGCATATTCACAAAGAACCTGGTTACGGGCTTTTGGAATTGCAGTTCGATGTTGAAGGAGGGCCTTTTCACACTCTTACTTAAACCACATTTTAAATTGGATAACATCTTCTCGGGATCCTCGCTGAAGCAGGTGCAATTCGTAAATACCATATCAAAGTTGGACTGAAAATGTGAACTTTAAAAACTCTCCTTCTGCGATTTTTTACCCAATATATCACCTTTGCATTGGTATTATAAACACTGGCAAAAATAAACACAATTATCACAGAGCATTTGCAATACATAATGTTTCAGCCAGAGCTCACGAACTCAGATTAAAATATTATTTGCCATGGTTAATTACCAGCTGCTCATTTGTACAGGTTGTAATCCATTTGACTAATTACTCTCATTTATAATAAGCTCTTTTTTTTTCAGGCAGAAGCGTTAATTGACAAGAAGATTACGGGTGATTATGGAGGAATGCCATTAATGATCCTATTATAAAACTAAATCATTTGTAGTTTAAACTAAAATCAGCTTTAGTTTAGAAGGCATTTCAAGAGCTTACTGGAATCCGAGAATTCAATTGTATATGTAAATTTGTGCCTGATTTTAGTTAGACTCAAACAATTAAGATATAAAGACATCTTGCCTTGGCATATGTACATTTAATGTTTATTGTTTGTTAACTCATTGTTTTAGACAAGCAAATGAGCTTGTTCAGCTCAATAAACGCATCCAATCAGGTGTATTTAACTCTGGATTTAGGCCACAATCATAACAATGATGATTATTATTCCAGCATTAGTCACGCATCAGCAGATAATGGTTTTGAATTTCCAATTTGGGCGATGCATTTGAGCCGCAACTCCAGTTGAAATGCATAATTGAACTGGTTTTGTTCGGATCTCACGGATGAAGGACATGAAACCGAAGACTTTCGACGTGTGGGTAGTCATTTTCCTCTGCCTGTTGCCTAATTGGAAATTCGAGGCGGAGGCCAAGGTGCGTATGAGTGATGTACGAGCGGAAATTAATCTCTACTAAATTCGGTTTGAATTTCTCAGAATAATTTCGAAATGCAAACGGATAATTTTACATGCAGCAGCGAGGATGTGAATTCAAGGATTCTTAAGGAGTTTCGTTGTGGCATAAGTAAAAGTGCCAAACGTCGCACTTGGCATATGGAATTTATGCTCAAGCAACCGGTTGCCGAACATGAGTTCTTCATGAAAATCGTCCTGCCCCGGAAGAGTCCTTTGAAGGACTTCGTCCTGCTCAATGTGACCACCGATGGCTGCCAGTTGTTGGCCAATCGCAATCAAGTGCCCCTAATGCGTTTGGGCCGTAATGTCATGGAACGCTTCAGTAACTTTCCCAAGCAGTGTCCTTTTAAGTCCAAAACGACCTACTACATCAGAGGGTTCCGACTGGATTTGAATCTCCTGCCCGCCGTTGATATGGAGACCCCTGTTCACACTGAGCTCAGTTATCGGAGCAAACATCATGGTCTCACTTGGATCAGCGGATTTCTAGAGGCACGTGTTCAACGGTTGAACGAGAAAAAACGCCCCAAGTAGGGAAAGGTTATAGAATTTATTAAAAACGGAAAAAATAAAATCTTTCAAGCATCATGGTAGCCATCGCTACTTCGTGACCTCTTAAAAAATCATAACATCAAAATACCTAGGGGCTGTTTACGCATATTTTTGAATATTTTAAAGAAAATAACATCAACATGGTAGATCTAACCTTTAAAAAAATATTGCAACAGAAGCTCTTTGAGTTTTTCTTAAACTTTAAAGCCTGTTCTTATTTTTCTTTTCTAATTTCTTAAATGAAAGAACCTCCTTCAAGGGCACAATAAATAAGTGTGCGTATGACAAATCTACAGAGGTGAGCATATGGCCACCGAGTTAATATTGCAGAAAATCATCCGCCACTCGTCCAAGCATCCGTCTCTTTCACTTAGCCTGTCTCCCGTCTCTTTCTCAGTCCGCTTTTTCCTTGACAGTTCAACCAGATGATGTTGCTACTGTTGTTACAGTTGCCGTTGCTACCTCTCCATTCACGGCAATTCTTTCCATGTCATTCCACAAATGTTGTTCAATTACCTGCGCTCAGACACAGACTGGCAGATGAAGTACACTGAGAGAAATATTTAGGTATTTTACAACATTAAAAAAAATTCAAGATTCTATTCTAATTTGTGAACAGCAAGCTCTTCTTGGATCCTTTATGACAAACCTATTCTAAACAAAAAATTTAAAACACATTTTTATAAAACATAGATGTAAAATCATAATTAAGTGTATGTTTCATCAATATATGATATTTTTGATTGATAAAAAATATATCTGAATAAAGTTTGCTGGAAATTGTATGTTAGCATTACTTTTCTGCAAGATAAATCAAGATATTTTCTTATAAAACAAAGGCAACCTACTCTAAAAAAAATTAGAAAATAAATTAAAAGTATATATTAACTATAACAAAAAAAGTTTAATCTTAATAGGAATTGGAGTTGAACAGTTTTTATACGAAAAAAAATATTTTTTTTACAAATTTAAATGGTTATATAATATATATATATCAACACTCGAATTACCATTACTCCAGTTAAATCCAATTATAATTCTATTTAACAATTCTCTATAAATTCCCATGTTTTAATGGAGATTTTAGTCTTTTTAAAGTCGCACTACTTGTTCCCTTTTCTCCCAGTGTATGTACAGAAACATTGTGGCGGCAACTGGTTGAGTATGTTTGTATTGGAGTTTGTTCGACTGGCATTCGGCGCGACACAAGCTCAACCAGCTGCCGCAATTTGGCATTTGACAGATGACGAGGCGGTGGGAAACTAATAACCCAACTTCCCCCTTCCCCTGGCCAACCCCCTCCCCCTCCCCACCTACACCTGTCTGGGCCAAAAGCAAAATGAAGTGGGAAATGTGACAATGTCGTCAGTTGATGATTTGTTACAGTTACCTAGTGGAACAGTAACAGTTGCCGGTAAATGTAACTGAATGGACTTCCGACGGGCCATGTGTTGCATTTGCCACAGAGAAAGGAGAAATTCGCTATCAGGGATTGTCATCAGCAAAAAAGCCTCTCTGGGACAAATGACAAAGTTAGAGGGCCTGCCACTAATCAACTTATAAATACCCTATGATAAAGCTTAACAACTTTCATAGTAAAATATGAACTTGACCCCTATTTGGTCACAGTAATATATGCTTATTACTTTGAAAATATTTAAGGGAGATTTTACTATTATTCTATAAGTCCGAAATATAGGTAAGCCCCAAATTCGATTCACTTTCTTCCTCTACAAAATTGTCTTTTGATATTGCTTTCCCCTTTTTTCCTCCTTTGTCCTACGGGCATCACTCATTCGCACCCTTCACTTTCCCTCCCTGCACTTTCACTCTCCCTGACAAGCACTTTCTTTCCCTTTCTCTTTTTCCCTGGATCAGCTGGACTTCCTTTCAGGAATGAATTTTAATTAGATGTCAGGGATTTGCATGCATGTGTGGCTCATTACACTGGAGTTAAGTAAAGTCGCCTGTCACTTGATTTGATGGCCAAGGAAAGCCAAGGAAAGCAACATTGATTCTGGCTAAGAACCCTTCCCTGAAACGGTCCCAAACTAATTAAGGCTAACTGTTAATTGGCCGAGTTGACGCTGTCATCCGTCTTCGGAAAGGCCCCTAGTTTCATTATGAAACAGTATCGTCACTAAATGGATTCTTACTTTGGTGGATTCCTACCCAAAAAATTAAAGAAATATTAAAGCATAAATAAATTAAAGCAAACAAATATCTGAAAATAAAATTGTATTAATTCAGTTTAAAGTGTAGGAAGCAGTGGGTTGGGTGTTTATATAACAATTAAAAACATTCTTACTGAGCCTAATGGATTACAGTGAAATCAATCTAAAACCAAAGTTTCAAGCAAATTTAATTTAATTCTGATTAAACGTATAAAACTGAAGAAATACTGGAAACTCATGAAAACGAGAAAAGATGATAATATTGTAGTTCGTTAATTTATTTTCAGATAAATCGGACAACACAGTTTAAGTTCCGACACCCTTTTTCAACCCATTTCACTCTTTATAAAAGCCCTCCCACATTAAGCGAGCTGATAAGTTGCAAACAGATTATAGCCATGAAACTTTAATCAGTTTCATGCCCAAGTGGGCAAACAATTGAAAGCGAAGCCACCTCGAAATTTTGATAAGACCTTGCCGCAAATTCCTGCGGTTCCTGCCCACAACTAATGAATAGTTTAGGGTATACAAGGGGGTATGTGCTTATCAAACTTGCTGCAGAGTGCTTAAGCTGAAATCTAAAATTTTAGCCAGCGGGTAATTAAGGCATTGCCACCATCCTTTTTACGGGCAAGACTTAGGGCCATAAAGCTATACAGAAAGAGTGCTTTGCGCCTTTTACAAAGTTGCATGGTTTTTAGGACTTGTTGGTAAAAGTTTTGGGTATTTTTTCGCCGGTAACTAAGAACTTTTCACGTGTCCCCGCGCAAAGCTCTTGCTTTTGCCTTTCCTCGTCCTAACTCAATTCGCACTGCCAAGTTCAACAAATTAAATCTTGAGACCCTCCAAAGACTTCAGACACACACACGCTCACACTTTATAATTAATTAAAGCAAGTTTGTCTTTTGGCCAGGAATCTGGAGCACATTTACCATGGCTGTCGTTGAATATTCAATGAAAAATGACATTGCTGGGATAAATATTTGCGTGGAGCAAGCGGAAAACTCAAGTGTTTTCTGGATGAAGACGACTTGAGTTTTCTCTGTAATTTGGAATTTAATTATATATATTTATTATATAAATTTATTAAATAAATTTGTTATATATATGTTAAACTTAATAAATAGGTTTTATTAATTTTGTATATCTATTAATATTTATCCATTTCTAACTATTCCTTAGAAAATATAACAGTCTAATATTGCTCATAATAAATAGGTTAGGGGTTTTGAAAACATTTATAAAGTAGCCTAAAAGTAGGCAGCAATATCTTTTAAATCCGCAAATCTTAGGGATACCTTTTGGAAAACGGTGACTGCATACTTTTAGATACCTTAAGAATAGGATAAAACCTAAGTCACTTTTATGGCTCCCCTTTATTTTAATACCCTCCAGTTTATTATTTATTTAGATAGTTGGTCATTTCTAAAGTTATATAAGTAAGTTTATCATAATAAATGAATAAAAAAGTAAATAAATAAAAGTAAATAACTAAAATTGTATATTTATATATATTTATCTATTTCCTTAAGCTTTAATTTAAATTATATAAAACGCCACGCGAACCCATAAAAAGTAGATAAATCTAAGATTACGTAACATCCCTCGCATTAAATGAGGGTATATTGCTAGCATGTCGACTTGGGCAAACAAAGTCGGGCATAAAAAGTCATTTTCATGTTGTTATGGCCAAAGTGCAGAAATTGTGAAAATTCATCTTTTCAATTTCCCCCCACCCGCAGTTCTATGCAAACTCTCGTTTTTGTTGCTGTCAATTTCACAGATTAATGCGCACACATTTCAACGCCAAAGTCGGCAGCAACATTTATTATTGACAATGGCCAAAAGTTTTGCCATTCGCTTTGCTTTCTGGCCAACATCCTTCTTCTGACCAGACGGCCAACCGACAAAAATTGATTTACAGTATAGATATTTTAATCATCAAAGCTCTTGGCTGTTAGTTCTTAGTTACATGCCTTGCTATTCACCCCCCGAAAATCAAATTTATGGGCCAAGTCGAAGGATGAGAAGAGTCTGCCCCAAAAACAAAATTTATGGCCACAATTTGGACGTTTGGGCGGTGGGTGTTAAATGGAGGCGTGGCAGCCTGTTGACTAAGTTCTTGGTGTTATTTCTATGCGAATAAGAAGCTTTTCCGGCGACCTTCGGGGCTGTTTACTTTCAGGAGTTGTATTTCGCGTGGTCGCAAAAAGGTTTCCCTGGTACTTTTTGGCAAAGACTTAGAAACTCAATTTCAGCACCCTTTCCGGATATAATAACTTTTGCCGGAAGTTGAAAACTATTGATTGGTTATGGAAAATATTTAAAAGGAAGCATAATTTTTGCAGCATTTTAGTAGTCACTATATTAGTTGTTCATCAAATTGTGTTGGAAAATAATAAAAACAAGGTATTATTAATATTGTTCTTAAAGTTCTGAGTAACTAGTATATATTTAGCGGCAATAAAATGACAAAATATTTAAAATATTTTTCATGACTTGAAAATTTGTTGCTCCCTTATCAATTTCCGGCTAAATAATTCTTGCGGTATTGCACTTTTTTCTTTTTTAAGCCTTATCATCAAAACCACTTTATTTGCTACTGTGAGAAAAAGGCTCGTCCACTGCAGTCTGTGGTTAAAATTTTATCAAATTAAATTTTGTCGGACTACAACTAGCTATAAAAGACCTTCGTTTCGTAGGCAAAGTCACAGTTCTCCCTCAGGCTTTCTTGAGTGAAGTTATAAGTGCATTTATAATAAATTTAAATTTATTTAACTAAATAAATAAAGAGAAAGCCATGACCAA